TATATATATATATATATATATATATATGCTTGCAGCATTTTCGTCCATCAAACGTCGTGGTTGGATCCTTGAGCTGTCACAGAGATGGATTTGCTTTTGCGAGTGGGCGAGTAGGTTCGATGTTAACCTAGAGTAAAAGAAGATTGGCAGACCAACTTGCAGAGGTCTGTTGGGTCTTAAAGAAAAGGCATGAGCATGGTGACAGTAAGACGAGTAACAGCACCGCACTAAACAACGAGGTACTGGTGTCACTGTTCGTTTCCTTCTACATTTTGGCGTAACGCTGATGCTGTCGGAGGTTGCCCATGATGAGCCGTTTCGGTTGCCACAGATAAACAAATGGTGCAGTTTCTTTGTTAGGAATTAGACTAAACTTACTTAGCTTAATTCTCCAATTGACGCTCCGCGACTGATGTAGCAGAGGAGAGCTGATGACTCCCACGTCCAGTTTAGCTCTTCCAAATTCGTCCACATTTTACGAAGCCCCGTAAGTTTACAGATATTGGTACATTCGTAAGTCTTTTGGGAGTGCGTGGTTTGTTTACGAGTGTCGGGACACGCTGAGTCTCGAAATTCAATACATGCACGTGGCCTTTTGCCAGGTATCTCTGTCCAGCGCTAAATGTTCCTCTGATTTGGAGTCAAAATTAATGCTTTCACCACCCATCTCTAAGATCTATTTCCGCGCCGTGAGATTTTCATAGCCTAGCATCTAGCAGTACAATTTTTATGATCGGCAATGAAATGTACCTGTTCTTTTCAGTGGTGCTGATGCCAGAACTGATTGTTTTTTCTTCCGAATATAGATGCATCGGATGGCTCTATCGTCTACACAGATGGGGCATGCATTGGCCCTGGTGATAACAGACAGGCCGGTTACGGGGTATACTGGGGGCCAGGTCACCGACTGTAGGTTTATAAATCCGCTTTTCGACAATGCCTTTCAGAAATGTGTCTGAGCGGCTGAGTGGGGAACAAACAAACAACAGGGCAGAAATTGAGGTGAGCTGCGTTAAACAATTGAATATTGTTGGCATGGATTTCACGATGGATTGAAAGGCTGACTCATTTTCGAGAGTTTACTGATCTTGCGAGTCAAAAGAATTTGGAGGCCTCTACGTGGCTTGGTTTGTAGCTGATGACAGTCGTGATCATAGGATGTGAAGTAATGATGCGCTACTTGGTCCCATTTACTATACTGTCCTAGTAACGCTTCGCTCCCTTGGTGTTTTCTTCAAGCTAACTGTTTGCTGTATAACCTCTTACAGGCTGTGATAACTGCTGTGAAACAGGCCAAAGAAGTTGGACTCACAAGCATCACAATCGCTACTGACAGCAAGTTTGCTCAACACTGTGCGACCGAATGGGGTCCCGTGTGGGAGAAAAATGGATGGAAATTGTACGACGGCAAGCCCGTCAAACTACGGGAGCCTGTCAAACGGCTATTACGGGTTATCCGCGAGTCTGGAGTTAACGTATCATGGGTCTGTCACTTTATTGTGTTTGCTACTGCGCTCACAATTGACTTTTCTGTGAGGATAGAATGTTGCTTAGTGTCACACTGACTGCGTTTGGGATGACGATCAATGCGAGTTTAGTATCTTTCGTCGTGTCTTCCTTTGTTTGTTCGGTATTTGAAATGGCCCGTTTGCAGTATTTTCAAGTATCGGTGGAGCGACCGCATCGTAACTTCTTTCCGAAATCAGCTTTTTAGTGACTAACATTATCTCTAAAAACTTTGGCTGTTGCACAGGAACTTTTCCTGTTAATTTTGTTTTGATATTACTGGCGGAATCACGAATTTATTAACCCCACTGGTAGGCATTGACAAGAAATCCTTATGCACCACAATCCGACTAACTTCAGTCAAACTTGGCTACATATTTTACAGGTAGGCACCGACGATATCGTCGGTTCGGGGTTGAGTGGATAAACTCCTTCCATTCTATCTGTGCTTATATAGTTTCCAAATAGTATCCAATAAAGCTAAAGTGATTAGTTGATCCCGAGGAGGATTTCACGTTATTATGGCTGGTCAGTTTAAAATTTGGTTTGCTCTGTTGTTGGACGTTTTCGATTTTACAATTCTGTCTCTTCGTTTTGATTGGTCCGTTTCCTTGTTTTGTGGTCTTATTCCGTTCCACTTGATCGGTTGATTGAATACTCTTCTATTTCTAGCAGTTTTCTTTGATCTGATTGGTTAGTTAGTTGTCGCTAGATTGTTTGCTTTTCCATGTGGTTCAGAGTCCCGCAATTGTGTAATTCTTGTTCGTAGTGGACGATAACTAGGTTGGTGTCGATGTTTTTGGTGACTGATTTTCGTGCGGAGTAGCACGCCCCGGCAACCTCCACCTTTGTTTTATCCAATTCCGACAAATAATTTGAACGCTATCTCCATTGAACTGATGTTCTTTAATGCGAATCTCCCCTCGTGAAATCCCCAATGGAAAGTCCACTTACACCGCTGCATTTACAAATGATTACATCAACTACCGCTCCCAGTGCGCAGCTATTTACCCTAGCTCCCCAAATTGTCGGCGAAGAAGAAGAAGTGGAAGATGTAACCACTGTACGGCAATTACGCGGTTTTTACAGCTGATCATAATGATCTTGATGATGATGATGATTGGTGGCAAAACTTTTGCAGTCCGATTGCCGATCTTGCCGACCAGACAATGCCTGGATGGAAGAAGGCTTTGCTGATCAAAATTGTCAGGAGGGAATTTCTGGTGATACTATTGTGGTGCGGGTCTAATCAGTATTGAAACAATCGTTCTGGATTGTAATTTTGTAGTGGTCGTTGGAATCACCGCCACCGTCATCATTATTTGGAACGTCTTGAGAAGTCATTTCGTGGGTCGTATTCGGCAAAATTTGCTCCCAACACAGAGCTAGTAGCTTGCAATCCTGGAGCCTTCACTTCTATGGAGAATTTAGAATGTGGATTCTTGTTAGTGCGCGCTATTTCTTCTTATAACCGGTCGAGGAAGGTGTGAAAAAATGTATAAATTAGAGAATCTTGAGGGCTTCGGGATGTCACGTGCTTATATAAGGCTGTGCCACCTGCCTTCGTTTTAATTTTCTTGTAATGAGCTTCATTTTCCACCTCTAACGATATGCAATGGCTGCTCGTTCAATCCGCTCAAACAAGTGGTCAAATCTGACTGAGATGGTTTTATTAGTGTAGAGTCATTTATGGTCATTCTTATGTTAAACTACACACGACATTATTTGAATCAGCGCTGCTGTCATCAGTCAGTGTGTTGGAATATCAGTGCTTCCGCCAAACAGTGTTCTTTCGCGGCTGTCATTCTTTGTGCGACATTAAAGAGGAACCCATGGGTACAGCGCATTCACAGCATTCATTGCTCGCGACAGCTTGATGGTTAAGGAGCGGACTTACTGACCGGAAGATCCGTGGTTTGAACCTAACCCCTGTATCTTGACTGTTCCTGACGAGGCTTGGGCAACCTGGCAGTTTCCCATCCCTTATGCTCCCATGGCAACTAGGCCGAACGACTGTTATTATTTTACTATTATTCTGATATTATTCTTAGGATTAGATAAGGTATTCCGGTCGAGTCCTTCTTCACGAATGTGATCCAGCACAGAGGTCAGATGTTGTCATGGATATCATGATTTCTTTGATGTCTAGGCGATTTGCAGTAAAACGTAGACAATCCATGTTTACTAGTAAGGCTTTTTCTTGTTTGTTTTCCTTACTACTGAGCTTGACGCTGCGTTTTTTCTATCTGGAACAAACGCGATTGATTTACCTTTACAGCGCAACGCCGTTCTCTGTTATAATTTCTGACGCATGTCCATAGGGACCTCAAGAAGCCTGCCACCTGGTTATTCAAATAGTTTTTTTACATGTAAGAATAGCACTGGCATTCCGAGAGGGAATTCGGTCTTATTCTTCTTCTTCATTTTCCATTCCGTTTCCTCAACAGCGCCACGTTCCTGGGCATTCCGGTGTCGAGGGAAACGAAGCTGCCGATCGTCTGGCTAACATGGGTGCTAAGAAACCAAACCCGATCAATTGATATTAGTCCCTGCTGTCTTATCAAACTAACCCAATGCCCGAGTGAAATTCCAAACCGCATTGTATACTAACAGACTTAGTCAAATATGAACGTTTTCAAAACATCCAGCGTTTTCTATCAGCGTTTTGTAGTTTTTTTGCGTCTTGATGGTGGTGTAGCTTCTTACTGATAACAGTCGGTAACGAAAGCTGGCCAATACGTGGAGTTTCGTAAAAGTGAATGATGTTTGGGTACCGGGTACTGGTCGTTTGTTGGGGCAAAACTGTCTGAATCGTTTCGATTTTCCTGAGGGACTTGTATCCGAGATTTCATATCAACTATTTGGGGCGTTTTCCATAAGATTTTTCGATATCAACCTTTAAGGATCATAAACTGTCTCCCTCAAATTTGCAATCATTCACTCTTCACGGGTCACCAACTTCACAAACATGCACTGACGACGAGTTATTCCAAGGCACGTTTGCATTGCCTTGTCCCCGTCTCGTATGCAGGACATACACTGAACTGATTCGAACCTCCTGCAGAGAACTTTCGGTAAATTTTCCCAGTCGATTAGAGGTGACCTGTTCCGTTGTTTTGATTTACACACTGCGCACACACTGGAATACGACCTTTCCTGGCGTTCGGCTTGCTTGGCCATCTCGGTGTAACCTGACTTCCACGATGTTTCTTCCTAAATAATGATTGATCTAACCACCCTACTTCCTGTATCGATTGGTCTTGCTTTTCCTATTATCGTGTGCCCGTAATGTACCTCTGTCGAAGTCCGGTAGCATCGTTAAATTTGCTGTTCAGGTGAAGGTCAATTGCAGCGAAAAATGATTGAATCACAATATCCACCGTCAATCGGAACTATAGCGACGTTTGTGTTGTCAAATACAAAATGACCATAATGATTTGGTGGTGTTCAGGTGACATTTGATTGATTATGATCGTCCCTACTTGATTAGAGCGGCATAAACTCGTCTAGTAGTATTTTCTTAACCCAACGGGGATAGAAATGCAAGCGACCGTTTTCTCATATGAGTGAGTCTACGGGCGATACATACATTCCCACTACCTAATTTTGCGGTCAGTGCGCCCTCTCATCTGCTAATGAGACTCACCATTCATTGTTATTTTCTGCACTTTAATGCTGATGCTTGAAGCATGTTCTGGGTACGAAGCATCTGATTAAGCGAGACAGTCGACATCCTTAGTCTCTTATTGCCTTTGTTCGAATATTGATGTTCAAATTGCACCTCACGACGTGCCTGAATTCGAACTGAAGACAGCCGTGATCAGTAGACGACACCAATTTCCCCCTGTGCTCCGGCGCTCCCACCGTGCGCATGATGTTTATCTGGCATTGTGTGCTTGGGGGGCAAAAACTGCCGATTTTTTGAATTTCGGATTGTGATATCCTAAGAGGAGACACTTAAACACACACTGCTGAGTGATGGACCACTTGGTACAGCTTTGCCTTTTGTCAGGACATGATTTTGAGAAGCTCAGTGGTTGAAGCGCGCCCGAAAAGTCCATGTTTCGAACCCCACCTCTGCATTTGACTGCTGTCTAGGCTTAGGCAATGTGACAGTATCTTAGCCCTCGTACTTCCTCCGGTAGTAGCCTCAGTTATCGTTTCGTTTGTGCCCATGGCTGAACTCACAGTTTGAAGGGACAGATATGGGTGAAGTGTTCTGCGGGGTGATTCAGCTGTTCAGCTGTAGCACCATTTCGGTGCCTTGTCTTGACTCATGGGGTACAATACACACATATGAACATATGATAAGTCAGGCTTCATGTTCATCAGATTCTCTCGAATTTCAGTGTGTCCACTTCTGTTTGATCTTCGGGTGTGCTAATCTCCAAGCCGACCGACTCGTTTTTATTGCATTCACTTGAACATCCACTTCTGTTTTCCTAACTGTGCTGTGTGAGGCACATGACGCGAGAATGATAGATTGATTGAAGCTTTCCCATGTCTGGTATCACAAGTCCTCCCTAAATCTGGTTGTTCTTAGACATAGGACAGCTCCCTGGAGATTATCTGCAAACTGCCTTTTTTCTTTTGGATATTATTCGATATATAGGACGTTTTTCCCGTCATATGTGATCCAGCCTTTTCACTGATGGTGTGGTAGATGTACAAGGGTAACCAAGGTGGGTCGATCTATGCTGGTTCTCATAACAGAAGTGGAATAACCGATAGTGGAGAATTCATTCAAAGTTTCGTAAGCTGAATGCTCGATTCATCGCTCGCTTGCTCCTCTTCATCTGTGATGCTCTGGCTACAGATTTAATCGTGCACAGTTACTTCGAAATGGCTCAACTTTGTGTGCCTATGATGGCTTTAGCACCATTCACTCACTAGCTTCGGTCCCTTCCCCAGGCCAGCAAAGCCTATAGCATAGTGGAATGAGGTTTTGGTGTTTTCTCCAGTTTCAACCAAGGTTTCATCCCACTGGTGGAGTCAGTTTGTGCCGAAAAACTGACAGACACTTTACATCCGTTTTATCATTGTTGGAAATGTGCATTTTACCAATATCTCCTATTCAGATCCGTCTAGTGGTCGAACAACATACCCTGCGGCGACGAGTAGTTTATCAACAGTGTGCTCATCTCAGACTCAGACTAGATATAACTCACCCTTCACACAATGCATACCCTGTATTATCACGCTGACTTGTCTCATGAGTGGCGGCTTCTAATGTGTAAGACCAATGCAGCTTGTGGGATTTACCCTTTCCCGGTGGAACACGTTTACGTCGATCTCACCCTGACAATCATGTACGGAGAGTTTACCGTCTTCGGTTGTCGGAAGTAATTCGAATGCTTCCATCGCGAGGTCTATTCCTCGCTGTTCTATACTGTTGGATCAAACACTAGATCTACAGCGTTTGCTATTACTCAGTTTGTCGGTGGTTGTAGTCTCAACAGGATTTGCATCCTACTACCTAAGTACGTACTGCTGATAGACTATTCCTGGCCGATCGGCAGTGTTCAACAGCTAACAGGTAGGGGCTTCATTTCGAACCCCCTCGAACTCGTCCTCAATGTAACGCAGTCACCGCGTTGGTGCAAATCTGAAATTCTTCGTTGTGATTGGACTACTAAACTCTGTGTTAGTAACAAAGTTCTAAATGCTTTCAAATATCTCCGCAGCACTAACGGCACCCACTTCAGTGTTACTGGTAGAGCATTAACACCGCTTACTCTACCTTCCAAATTTATTGTCGAGCAACTAACGAACATGTCCAGCCTGTTTTGATTTCTTCACCGGTCACAAAACTACTAGTTCCCAGGACAGCAGGTGCTTTATCCACATAGCTTAATGCGCGGATTCGACAATTTTTCCCAAGTGTATCTTAGGTCTGAAAACTTCCGCTTTTTAGTCCAAAGTTGTGAACTTGTAAGAAGAAAACTGTCGTCCATGCATGTTCAAGCCAGTGCGATCATCTCTGTCCGCTTTACAATCGTGTCGTCCCATTTCCCCGTGGGTTTGACTTTAATATGTTCCGTTCTGTGATTAGTTGTCGGTGGCTACCAGTGTCGCCGAATTTTTTGTAATATTGCTTCATTCCTGTTCCCCGGAGTGTTGTTATGTGGCGTATACGATGACGCCTATGAGTTATGACTTGGTTGCCCTAATGGATTTCGCGATCTGATTCAACGCGGGTTAGGGGTTAAGGTGCGAGCTACTGCAGCATATGATTGTTCAGCTGTGACAAGTGTTCGTGCCTAGTCTACGTGCTGCCCTGAAGAAGTATAAGGGCCAGGATACTACCAGTTTTCCCAAGCCTAGACAAGAACATTTGATAATCCAGGGTTGAGCGACCCTGTCTGGGTTATGACATCCTTGAAGCATCTTACCCTTTGGGTTAAGCGGCAGCTTTCAACCGAAGGAGCGTCTCGTATGAAGGGTTTTGTAACTGAACGACGCTGTTCTATTGTTACCTGTTTCATGTGCATGACTTATGCGCATGCACTAAGGATTGACGAAGCTCTGGCAAATGGTGCGTTGGTTTCTCCTGACTTTTTGGCACAAAAATGTGTTGCCGTTAGTCCGTACTGGTTTCGGGTTTAGCCTTTCATTTCTGAAGGTTTGTTCTCATGCGCAAAGTGTGTCCGGCACTGCTCTCCGGAACGCTTAATGATACCTTTCCGTTCTTTATTTTTATTCATCTTGTTCAGTTGCCGATTCGCTGCAGACAACTAGGGCACTCATAAATTCCCACCTTTCCCATTTCGCACGTCTCATGGCACGTTCGTTATTTTTGGAACAGTTATCTGTTTGTTGTAGTTATACATGGAATTGCCATTAAGCGCCCCGACCGATATCGTCTAGTTTGCCGCTAGAGATATCGAAGCGGAAATTTCTCGTATCTTTTTGCGTTTTGAACGGGAATCAGTGGATTTTTTTCGCAGCATCTGCTCTTATGTGCCTGCCGTTTTCCGTCACCTTGCTTTTCATTGGTATGTTTGTATCTCCCCTGCAACCAGTGTTAGTGAACTAATAAATGATCGTTCAGCTGTAGTACCGTTCAGGTGCTTAGCTACCATGTTGTCCAACCTCAAATGGCAGTTGAGATGCTGAGTTTGTGGTTGAACCGCAGATCTTCCGATCAGTAAGTTGGCGCACTGAGTTATGTTGAGCTCCTCATCATAATTAGCTGTAAAAAATCGCATACTTGCCGAGCTTACTTTGAGCTCGGTGTTGACTCGGATGTGCTTCTCTCTCCTTTTAGCTACCAACATGTCTCACACGCAGCAATACGAAATAATCACGAAACACACCACTCCATTCACTGATCAAAAGCCCGGAACTAGTGGCTTGCGCAAACCCACCAAAACGTTTCAACAACAATACTATACTGAGAACTTTATTCAAGCCACGTTAAATGCTGCATTGAAGAATTCTATCCTCGGCACTGCGCCTGTTCGTCTGGTAGTCGGTGGTGATGGACGTTATTTCCTTCGGGACTGCTTGCAGCGTATCATTTTGCCAATGTGCGCAGCCAACGGGGTGAGTTTTGTGCAATTACTCAAGTTCGCATTTGGTGTACACCCACGGTTCCGTGAGTTCGGATCATTCCCATCCTGGAACACTGCATATTGAACCCGTTTGTGTATGTTCTGGTGTCGTACTCGATGGTAGCCTTTTTTCATGCACAATCTTCTAGACAAGGGAAAAGATACCATATTTCCATAGCCCGATTTGTTTCCCATGTTAGCTTAGCGGATGACTTTCCGGTGTCTCTTTTGCTCCGGTCGTAAACCGTTATCATGTCGTTTGTTTTTTATTGTACTTTGGGGGCTTACTTAATGTTTAGTGATCCACTAGGGACTTGAAACGTTTCAACGGGGTGGCGATACCGATGCGGAAACAATTGTTGTGCCATCTACCCTTTGAAAAAAAGATCACCATATCATTCCCGGTCGCCAACACGCTTCACAATATTCCCCGGCTTATATTGGTCGATAGGTAGGCCTGGACACGTTAGCACTCACGGAGGATTGTCACAGTTGAGACCCCTCTTTATCACACTTGGGCTTTATAAGACTGAAGTTTCAAAACAGATGGGATCAGTTCAAATAGCTTCGGTAGTTATTTGGCCCTCGTTACTTAGCATATTATTTCAGAATGTATTTCCCTCATGTTGCCATCATTTGCGGATTCTTATTTAGGTCTCCCCAGGTAGCATGGTCCATTTTGGCTGGTCGACCATGTTACATGGATAGGTTCTTCGTTTACGAATCTATTGAGGATGTTATCTGATCAGTCCTGGTCAAGTGGAGGATTTCGCTCGAAGACCGCTAAATTCTCGTTGAAGAGCACTGTTTTCAGTATCCCCTGTAATGAACAGACTTTGCTATGGAGAAGGCTGTTTGATGCTTCTGAAGGTATTTCTTCGCTTAAGGAGATCGTTGCCTGTGGAGGCTAACTCCAGGAAACGCTACGCGCAAATAAATCTCTCAATAGTATTGTCGTACATTCTTCTTGTGGCTTACCATTATGTGCATGTCAGCCTCAGTTCTGTGTTCGCATTGCTACACCTTATTCATTACTATAGGGAGGGGGCAGACAGTAGTCGTTAGTATCATGGGAAATACAACCCCATAAACCGAAGAAACCTCGAATGGTGTGCTCTGTCTAGCATTATGAGTTTTCTGCCGTAAAATATAATGTGTTATGGCGAGTAGGTTTGAACTCGGACCTCGTGCTTGCAGATGGCTGTATTTGTGAATTCGGTGTAATCGTCCACCTGGCTAACTGCGTAAGTCTCAGAAACCTAGAGAAGGTGATTTTGAAAGGTGGGACCTTTCGTCTATGATGTCACTCTGGTTGTCAGCGATAATGTATACATTTGCGGAGTGCAATCCACACTGTTTTATGGATCAGAATGTGCACAGAATATATTGAAAAACTCGTTTTATGCCATCAGTGTTTCCGAAGCATTGCGCGGACCTAATGTAACATCGGATTAGTGTTGCTGGCCCACTTCAAGTAGCTGTCGATAGACAAGTTTATCCGCCATTGACGAGCTAGCCAAGCCTCATGGATTGCACTTGTTTGAAGACCGTCCGCCTTTTATCCTTGTGCAGGACAGAAATAGCCCCAAGCATGACTGTGAGTCGGTGACAAATTATGAATGCCCTGATTGATGAACTCATTTGTTCCGTGATCAGTGACATACACTGATACGGCCAAGTTGCGCAACCTTCAGAACTCTTGCACTAAGGGTGTCTTCCTCATCGAATAACTGTCTCAATGTTTATTTTATCGGTAACAATTTGATATTGACTAACTGGCTAGATCACTGACATCATTGTGTGCCTATCCTTTCATCTTCACCTTTTTCAATGAACTAAACTCACAGCTACAGCTAATGTAATGTAGTACCCGGTTGGCAGCCGAAAATCGGGTCTGATTTTCCGACGTGACTCTTGACTAACTGATCACTGATATCATTGTGTGCCTATCCTTTCATCTTCACCATTTTCAATGAACTAAACTCACAGTTACAGCTAATGTAATGTAGTACCCGGTTGACAGCCGAAAATCGGGTCTGATTTTCCGACGTGACTCGATAGTAATCGTAAATATGTACCATCCACTGACTTGGGGGAGCATTCTACTCACAAAGCTGCTGAAAATTTCCCCACAGCCCACGACCGGTTCGCTGTTCATCGGGTGCCGTCCCCGAGTTCCCGTCAACGTTCTGCTCTACTTGAACATCAAATTTCCTTTTAATTGATAATAAGCCAGTCGTTCGGCATTAACAGCCTCTTGCTACCTAGCTGCCATGTTTCTCAAGTCTAGACAAGAATAGTCGAGATTTCGGGATGGTGTTAGAGCCACGAATGTCCTGTTCATTAAGTTCACACGTTAGCTACTGAGCTGTCTGGAGCTCATTGGCAAAATATACTTACTCATTTGCGAATTACTCTGGTGTTGACAGGTGACCCAATCGTATCTCCATTGGATCTCCCGTGTATGGTATTCTTTAACTGAATGTGTTGCACAAATACCGCCTCACGTTTCAGAGGGTGTATTGCAATTGCCGATCGCATGCACACAGGATGTGGAGTTGATAGAAACTCACGGACTGCGGCTAGCTGAGAAATACGGCGAACGATTAAACCGGTCGTGAGCTGTCGGACCTTACCAATAGTGTTCCGCCAAGAAAAAACCTCTAATGTGCGAACTGAAACATCAGGCGGCCTGTGGAGATGTTTAGAATCTTGAAAACGAGGGATCAAGCTGGGATTCAGCTGCGTTTCCCGGTAATAGCAAATTAAGTTGCAAATGAGGACATTTTGCCAATTACTCTATGTTTTGTTGTGACCATCTCAGGCATTTTGCCACTCTCCACATCTCACAGGTTTCGGAGGTTCTTGTCGGTCAGGGCGGTATTCTATCAACTCCAGCTGCCTCTTGCATAATTCGTACGTATAAATTACACGGTGGAATCCTGCTTACTGCTAGTCATAATCCGGGTGGTCCGGAGGCGGATTTTGGAATCAAATACAATTGTGAGAATGGCGGTCCATCACCCGAGAAAGTTACCAATGCAATATATGAAGAAAGCAAATCTCTTAGCGAGTTCAGGACACTGGCCCATCCACTGGATTTCGACTTGGACAAGATTGGTGCCTCAGAATTTATGTTGAGCAACAAGAAGTCCTTCCGAGTAAGTTTCCTTGTTGGTGCGTTTTCCGCTCAGTCTTGCGGTTGGTGGACTCTGATGTTCGAATTCACTGGGAGTCGCATATTCGCTTGACTATATATGTTTGGAGAATAGCATCTGCGCTTAGTGAAATTCTCGTAGAACTGTTTTGCTCTGGTTCACCTAGCAGCTTTCGAACCAAACGCAGACCACACTCTGGTTTTATTCTGTGATAAATCTGAATTTCGCGGACTAGTCTCCCAACTATTAATATGGACTTTTGTATTTTGTCAAATCAAGAATAGTACTATCTCGCCCTTTGATTGCATGAGCCACATGCCAGCTTGTCTGCTAGCGTCCGAATTTCATTCCTTGGTAAATGTGTGAAGTTAGGCCAATCAACAATGTTGCAAGCTGGACTTATGCGTTACAAGTGAAACATGTGTGATTGTGCGCGGCTGTACTGATTTGATGTTGTCCGCGAAAATCCTGCCAGCTGGTCAGCTACTTGGAAAGATGGGTATAGAGTAGACGTGCTTTCTGGTTGATCAGGGTCTCGGCTTTTAGGAATCTGGCATTTCCATTTAGCTTTCCAACCGTGAAACGATTTGAGTGGTGAGGATATCTGGATGCCGATAGCGGAATATGAACACAATGATTTTCGGATGCTTATGAAGTGATAAAATCACGGATCGAACAGTGGTTTAAAGCACAAACTGAGCATGTGTATCAAACAGCACCATAGGTTACCTGACCTCGTCATATCGTTGAGCGTCTGCAACCAGAACCAACCACTTTATACCGGTGCTCTGCGCATCCTATTGAAAATTCCGGAGCGGATCTGCGGATTTCCACAATGTACTGTACAGACACATGTTATCTCCAGGCATTGTGTATTTCGAACTAGGTCGGTGGCGCCGTTAAAACAAGCCGAGTACCAGTCTGGAAGTTACATGACTACTTTGTCAAGTCTTTCATCTTCGACCAGCAGCAATTGTGAACAACACATCAGTCAGTGTATGTGTCATCTGCGGGACCTGTGAGACACAGATGCTGAATTACAGTTTTCCTTCTGAGTGGAGCCTAGTTTCACTGTCCATCTGATCTTCTGTAGTATACTTCTTAATCTGTTGTAATGGGTTGTGCGATTTATCCAAGTAGTTTATTAGTCTTTCGTGTTTGTGAGCTTCTCTGTTTTCTGTTGTTCGCATTATTTACATTGACACCATCGCTCGTTCTATTGCGGTCCGCATACCGTACACCCAGAACCACAATGGAACCGGTTAATTGAGGTCACAATGTTTATACATCATAAACGTAAGTACAATGTAAACGTGCTGTCTTACGTGACCTCTCCAGGCATTACATAAATTCCGAATTGTGCACACTGTTATTTCTCGTAAGGTTAAAAGTATGTGTTTTGGTTGACAATTCATCTTTTCAGACTCTTGGGTGTTTGTTATCAGGTTTCTATAGAAAATATAATTCATGTCACTTGTTGAGACATCTGATTGTCCTCCAGCGAATAGCTGTAGTGGGCGATTTCTTGTAGGGTAGTTATATACGACTAAGCCATCACGCTTTCCTTAATGCAAATAGTATGGACATTGATAGGCTGATCATTCCATCTGGTCAGAAACAATAGGCCTCTAGGTGAACCTCATGGTGGTAGGTAAGTGGACAAACTTCCTCGTAACTCGGGAACTGTGACTAGCGATTGATCAGTAGGTTGGATACGCGTGGATGATTTGTGTAAACGAGGTGGTGTAGATCATTTTCTTTATTCATGTTTCAGGTAAACGTGATTAGCAGCGTGAGTGACTATGCATCGTATATAAGCTCGCTATTTGATTTTGGTGCGATCAGGGGGCTTTTGAGTGGGTCATCTGGCCACGCGCCGTTCAAGCTGAAGATCAGTGGCCTTAGTGGAGGTGAGTTTCCCAGTTGTTTCACTTGTTCTCTCTAGAATGTTTACTGTTCTTGATGAAGGCTTCATCAGTGTGAAAACGTACAATCGGAGGCTGGAAACATGTATACTTTTGTCCACATACCACCTTCTAGGTGGCCAAATCCTGATTCTCGATTAAAGCGAATGCTGCATGTGAAACCTTCCTGTGTGAGGAATCCACCCTATTATATCTAATATCGACACAACTTGGTAGCATTTTTTTCATATAACCTCTATAAGTACTGAAATCACTGGTCAGAACAATGCCCGCATAACAACTTGGCTTTTTTGTAGCTCATTTATCCCAATACAACTAAGTTGGTTGTTCTGCAGACAATGGCTCTGTATGCAATCCAGTGCAATAGGAACCCTTCAGACCATGTGTTGGTGCAAATCTATTCAAACCTTGTTGTCTTCGTCTAGTTCACTTGGGTAAGTGACTTTCAAGTGACGTCAGCATACTGGGATGGCTCTGTCATTCATGCTACTAGTGTAACGGTGGATACTACTGATGAGGCATGCGAGTAGTGTGCGGTTTTCCCGTAAATCCGCTTCGCGACTATTGAAAAATGAGATTTGTTACGGAATTTGTGGAATTGCTTTGTAGCATTTGTTTGCATTTGAGGGATAGTCAATGAGTATCCAGTAAAGTTCAGGGGGACGCGTTCGAGAAGAAGATGGGTACTCAGTTTTAATAAACAAGATACATTTGAGAGTTTCGCTTCCCTGCCCAGTGGGTGTTTTCCAATAAATAACTCCGCAGCGAAGGCCTTCCCTTCACTAGTAACTATAAGGAAGTCGTACTGGTAGTTATAGGGAATTTTTTAAAGTCAACACCCAACGTAGCGGAATAAGATGTTATCATTCGAAGTTTCGGTTACCGTGGGCAACCTTTTTTCAACAACTTTCACAGTCAATTATTGTTAGTTACTTTGCGTGCTTTTCATCTCTTTTTCCTTCCCTCAGTTTTTCTATCCCATAAATCGCAACCAGTATTTGTGCGGATGATTAATTCTGAGGTTTGAGTTCGAGGCACTATCATCCACCTAGTTTATTCACGTTGTCCTGTTTATATGTAGTTAAAGATGCTGTTTTCCATACTTCGTTACGGCCAATCATTACTAGATGAAAAGCTGATCCCATGAATAATATATCACGGGATTACGGTACTCATTAATAGGGAAATACATCTTAGGGCTTTCTTTGGCTTTCAAAACACATCACTGTTTTTTACCTTTATTAAAACTTAAGCTGTTGCGAATTCACTCAATTTCAGTAACTGGACCCTACATCAAAGAACTTCTTTGCAAGAAGTTGGGAATGCCTGAGGAGTCTGCTCTCAAAGCCGTACCATTGGAGGATTTCGGGGGTGGTCATCCGGATCCAAATTTAACATATGCGGCAGATTTGGTTCAGGCTGTGGTAGACGATCCCTCAGTGTCCCTCGCAGCGGCGTTTGATGGAGACGGCGATCGGAATATGATTATTGGCCGTAACGGTTTCTTCGTCTCTCCTTGTGACTCCCTGGCCGTCATCGCGGACAACGTGGATGCGATCAAGTATTTCCGAGAATCAGGGATTTCTGGCTGTGCGCGTAGCATGCCCACCAGTCGTGCATTGGACCGGTAAGTGAGATTTGGCTCAACCTACCGCACAGAACGGCGTAAAGCGATTGGTATTTCATGTATCTTTGGAGGTATGCCGCGGTCTGTTATTGTTGACCAGTTTGCTGTAACTAGAATATTATTGGAGTACGCGCAAGTCGCCCGAACCGTTCATTTGTCGTCCCTTTGAAGGAACTACATTTGTGAGCTTTAGTGGGGTGTTGATTCCCCGGTACAACCACTGTATGACGAGTACGCGGTCATTACAGCTGACAATGATGAATGACGGAACTATCTTCGACGGTAGTGGATTGTCTTCTGTCGCTCCAATTTTACGCTGTTTGAAGATTTTGTTTTAGTTCATGGTTGAATTGGGGCATTTGGTTCGAATATGCTTTTTCTTTTAAATCCATAACTGAACTCAGTTAGATTAACTGAAAAGCTACTTAGGTTGCAGCCGGTATAATATTGCCCTCTGCTTTGCTGGAATAACGGAATTTCGTGCAAGATTTGGGGCTAGCTTGGTTAAAGTTCCGCTCTGCGTTTGCCTACCTATCCGCGAAGGTTGTCTGAGTGAAGCTACAAATCTGCTACCGAATAGCCAGGACAATACGAAGACTGCTTGCCATCCTCCTCCCATACACGCTCCTCATTATTCAATTCACGGCGATTCCTCTGTCTTGGTTGTTGAACAGGTGGCTGTTGATCTGTTCGCCCAGCTTGGTGATTGACTTGCAAACGTCTCGTTACCATCATCAGTGCGCACTGATCAACCACCTGATCAACATCCAATAAACTCACCGGAACCACCAATATTTCAACATATTCTATAACGACTTCATTAAGAAACTGGAAAATATGGTTGTAAATGAGAGGATGGGCTAGTTTGTAAGAGTTACAATGGATACACAGTCGTACGCTTGCACTTCTCGCATATATGACGGTATCTGTTCATAGTTCACACAGTATTTAAGGTCATTCGGACACGTTGCTTTGCCCAAGCCATACAGAAACTTACAACACAGCCGTTATGAACGCTCGTTCCCCGATTTCCTTCTTACTAATAAACGAGTTGTTCCCCTGTGACACCCCTCCTGTGCGTAGCGCCCATGCAGCTCGTTGGATGTGAGAAAGGTATTACCAGGTTGCTTAAGTTTCGAGAGGAGCAACCGAGACGCCATGGTTGCCAAAGCATAATGAACCTTGCATTCAGTAGTTTGACGCCTCAACCCGGGCTACTACGAACTCCATTCCTTCAGTGATCAGTTGTCATCCAAGAACTACACGATCTGCTGTGGCTGTTTTCTTCGCCCTGCACAATCCCTCTGCCCTCAGGTTTTTTCATTTCTCTCTGTGGGAGACCAGTAGTCTGTTTTTCCGAATCCTGACCACTTCGCTAACACGAGCAAATTTCTGCACTTTCACGAGGTTATATTAAGAGGCAGTCATGTAGTCACGCAATAATTGTCACCTCCATAATCACAGACGGCCAGTTCAGCCGGGATTGATAGTGATGCGTATTAGCGGTATATCTGTTGTATGGTTTTATGAAGGTGTACATTCACATCCCTGAATAGTATCGCTGTTCCAGCCATATATTGTCAACTAACGTACCTAGACTGTGATGCCCCTCGTAAACTGTGTACCAAAATAAAGCAGGTCCGACGCAACGCAGTTCTTCATGTGTCGGCGAGGGGGCGTGAGGAGTGCTGGTGATGTCGAAGCCGATAGCCTCCACCAGTTCAGTATGGTCGTCTGCTGAGTAGCGGACCTCCAAGGTTCTGTAGATGTTGTGCGTTGAAGTAACCCTTAGAAAAGTTGTGTTAGCACGAAAATTGGAAAGGAAAGCGTTCAGCTGTAGCACCCTTCCGGTGCCTAACTGCCATGCCACCCGAAGGAAGCACGAGGGCTAGGATACTGCCAGGTTGCCCAAGCCTAGACAGGGGAAGTCGAGTGGCGGAGGTCGGATTCGAACCACGAACCTTCCGGTTAGTAAATTTCGCGCTCTACCACTTGGGCCATCTCGCACGAGAATTAGAACGGAATGTGCTCTCGTTGGAGTGCAAAATGCCTGTCTGGGAGCAAGACTTTAGAGAGGCATGCGTGCGCGAAGAGTCGCTAAATTTGCGGACAGGGAGGACCGCATTTGAAGGATATTTCTTTATTCCTTTCGGCGAGTGAAATTTCCGCTCCTTGGTGTTTCACTATCATTATCATTTTATTGCTGCTATTGCTGTTATTTTGTATTAGTATCGTCATTACTAACATCATTGTTGTTGTTTATTGTGCAGAGTCTGTGAGGCGCGCAAGATTCCATGTTTTGAGGTGCCAACCGGCTGGAAGTTTTTTGGAAACCTAATGGACGCCAATATGTGTTCGTTGTGTGGTGAAGAAAGCTTTGGAACCGGGTCAAATCATATTCGTGAAAAGGATGGCATGTGGGCGCTTTTTGCTTGGCTGTCTATTTTGGCATCGCGTCAGCAGGCTGGAAAGCCAGCGGATGTAGAAGCGATTCTACGTGAACACTGGGTCAAATATGGGAGATACTTCTTCACAAGGTTTGTTGATTTGGTTTTCCCACCTTTTTTTGCCTTTTTCCCATTTTCTGTTGTTCTGTGAAACATTCCTGATAGACAAAGAAGCTGAATGATCAATCTCGACGGGCACAAATCCATTTCCTAAATGACCGACTTTGAAGAGTACATGTGTATCCCATTTCACAGCGTGATGCTTTGGTTTTCCCTTGTCACGTGGGAGGTTTCGACTTTTATGCCACTAGTTTGTTTCATTCCCTCCATTGGGTTTAGTCTATATTCATTGGCACATCACAGATTATTATTGGTTGGCAGATTTAGAAACGAATATTGAAGCCCGTTACTGCGAGTTAAATCCCGCGATTTCGTGTGTCGCAAAGAGCACCAGATGTGATACGTTAGGGTATTACTTTTTGGGCAATTTGGTTTCAGCGAGAGTTTCCTTACGGTGCATTCGACTTGAGGGTTGTTGTAGCCTTGTGCATTAGGTACCCTTGGACAAATAACTCATTTGAATCACGAACATTATCTAGTCGTGAAGCCCACGCTGCTCCTTCGCTGTTCTTTCACTCTTCTAAAGTAGCTATCTAAATTCGCACTCTACACAAAACTCAGGAAGTTGCCCTAGTGTTCAGAGCGTGGCTGTGGCTACCGCGATATCTACTGTGAAAAGCTGAACTGATGAAATCCTTGGTCTTTCTCTTTTTTTGTCTCTCCCTTAAACCCTTCATGCATGGCTTTTGTCAGGGACATGCAAGATCAGGACTCGCCGCGGAAGGAAACTAGCTCACAAAGTGCGGTTCGACTAGCACTGACTCGTCTGTTGATGACTGTGATTGTGTAACACCCATAAGAACAGGGCCCAAACAGTTGGGGCTTGCAATACTAACACAGATCGCAGGATGTTCGGATAAACTCTAACGCTAACTCATTACGCGTCTGACGCCAGAAATAACCCCTCAGAAATTCCGTCGTCGGTGTCTATCTGCCACTAATCAGTTTGATTTTTTTTAACCCGGTCAGTATTTCTTTGGACTCAAATTTTGCGTTTTCTCACCAATAGTTTCTCGGATTTACGTGCTTTCCCCTGCAGATATGATTATGAAAACTGTGAGTCTGCTCAAGGTGATGCAATCATCAGTAAACTGAAAGAACTTCTCAAACAAGGTGTCAAGGACCGCGTTTTCAACACATCCACTGGACGGCAGTTTACGGGCGACTTCATTGACGACTTTTCTTACATTGATCCCGTTGATCACTCGGAGACAAAGAATCAGGTATGAATACCAACCGATGCATTCCGTTTCAAATATTAACTCCTTTGTTTGTCTTTATTCGGTACGGCAATAAAGTTTTTTTGTGTGTGATCTCCCCGCCTCACTAAATGGTTTGCTCCCTGGAGGCTAGGCAGGTGGGAGATCCATGTGCTCATTCGCTATCCAATCCATGAGTGTTTCGATTCCGAAGTCGTATCCTACAAAATATTAGTACAGCGAAGCTCCTCAACAGAGAACCTCTCGCGCCTAAACACGGTTCAGCTGTTCTTAGGACTGTCGTATTGGAGCGTGAAACCCATCGTGCAACAATGGGTGTTACTCTGCTCCACAGTAGGCGACACTGTCTATTGACAGTGGAGTGAGTTGTCTGCGATTGTACTCACCAAATCACGACGGGACAGTGTGAAGTCATCCGCAAATAGGTACTTTGCGCATACTTACTTTTGGCGACTAGTCTTCGCGCGGAACACAAATGATCGGGTGATGTTTACAAACGAAATGATTACGTGGACTTCATAAAAATAAATTTGGGACCTGCATATGTTTACTATGCCTCTTTGTTACGGCCTCCTCCAAGACAGTAATTGAACAAGATTGATTAGTTGGTGACTGCATGACAAACGAACGGAAGTGTGCAAGTAATAATCATTTGGAACGATCAGAAAGTGTACTTAAGGTCATGTTTGATTGGCAGGTGTAAGCCTTCTAGCCGATCGATAAGCACAGGTACTAAACGAGACTTACAGGTCAATATCGTGAAAGCACAAATGAAGTAAACTCTTCCAACACATCTCTATGTGTAGAAAATAAGCTTGTGCTTGGAGTAGACCATGCCCCCAAGTCAAGATTCACAGGCACGAAGGCAGCCATTGGAAACTTGAAAACAGTCGAGTTATTTTTCCCGCCGGAGACGAAGGTAGAGCCCTTTATTTCGGTGCCCTCATTTGTTTGTTTCTTGTGTGGATAGCCTGTCTATTCTCCTTCTTTTTAAACGACAACATTTCTGTGTTCGTTACCGAACGGATATGGAGGAGCGCAATCTTGGAAAGTTTCATTGGGTACTCATGGTTTCCTGCTGGCCCAAAGAAATTCAGGTACTTATTGCTTTGTTTCCTGAAAGACATTTAGCTGTGTTGGCCGGTTGTTCCTGCACTGGATACATCGATGTCCCTTGTTGCCTATTCGGTCATCCGCTTAAGCCGCTGTTACGACAGCATGAAAGCTCATTTATCCACCTTCCAAACACCTGGTGGACGTAGAAACGCCTCAGAGATGTAATCACACGGGGGGAATAAATGTTATCTTGGTACATCTTGCTGCATCTTGATACCACTCAAAAAGTGAACCTTTGGTGGCAAACGAGGTATTTGCTTTCCAGGAGCCCATTGTAGTTGACTAGCCAATTTCACATCCCTCGGATGGTTAGGGGCTTTGGAACTCATTGTAGCTTCGGAAGTTCAATGGCAATTCATGCCAGCCAACGCTCCTCAAGTTCTCTGGCGTCTTGTGCACAAGGAACTCACTTGTATATGCTTAGATTTCACGTGACTGGGGTGCGTCAAACATTTGTGACTAATTCCTATGAGATAACAACAAAGCTGAACGGGGAAATCAGGTGAGAAGGTTACAAAGTGAAACATATCAAATCTGTTCCCGCGATGGGTCGTTATGTTCGTATTAGGCTTTTCCACTGTGAATACCAGCGTGTTTTTGGTTGTGTAACGGGTACTTCCATTGAAGAATGTGTCCAGCACCAGAAGCTGCGTCGGTTGGGACAGGTGTTGCATATGCCTAACCATCGTTTGCCGGAGAGAGTGCTGTTTTCCATGCCCAATTCAGAGTGGCGTAAACCGGGAGGTGGCCAACCCTTGACTTGGCAGAG